CGGGGGCGGGCGGCTCCGCCCGGGGGCTCATGTATGGGCTGGGTATGGTGGGGGTGGAGGTGGGTTTGCTCCGAGCTCCGTCGATGAGCGGGTGTAGTTCCCAGTTCTGGCTCTTTTCAAGGAGGAGGAGCAGAAAGAGGATGAGGAGGAGGAGCAGGAAGGGGGGAAAAGATGGTTGATTAAAATTAAAACATCCACAAAAGGAAAAAAAAATTAAAATTCTTTTTCTGCCATATGACCCTGAGATCTTTGCTTTTCTTGTCTGGATTCACTCGTCGCTTTTGGGAGGATGCCACAGCCACAAAGGGTCCTGGTGATCAGGAATGACAACGACCCAATACAAGCAAGTGGGATGCAGTCTGTCTGCTGCCCCAAAGGGCCAGGTGGCTCTGGCCTGTTGCCTGGAGGTATCCCAGTGAGGACAGTGGAAAAGGGAGATGGGGGGGTGTGGCAGTCACTGAAGGAGAAGACCCCATCAGCCAAGGCTGTTACACTTCCCCTCCCCCACCCCAGGAAGTTCTGGATTGGGGAAAATGGGAAGAGGACAGGGCTGCAGCTCCACTGGCAAGGCCAGGGAAATATGCCAGGGAAAAGGTAGCAAGGAAGCTGGGGCACTCACCACTCCTCGTCTTTATGAGCCAGGAAAAAATCCTGCATCTGCTGCCTTCGAAAATCTAGCTTGTAGTCATTATACCGCTTGACAGCCTCTGTCTCATCCACAGAGTCATCCAGTGACAGGAGGAACTCCTTGAAGGTCTTCATCACTGGCGGCGGCACACCCAAGTCAATCTCAGCAATGCTGCCCAGCCTGGAGGGCCAGTCAGGAAATCTTGGTGTGTATGGGTGGGGGGTCGCAGGGGGCCAAGGTGGACAGCTGCCCGCTTCCTGTACCTACGATGGATGCCACCCCCAAGCATGAAGCATTCCTGGGTATCTAATCCACTACCCGGCTCAGCTGTGGTCTTCTTCAACCCCAAGCCATGCCCCAAGCCTGCCAGTTCCCTTCTCCCAAGAAACCCAGAACCAGAGGTCTTTACCTGGCCTGGATAGGCAGTACATGGTGCTGCATGATGTGGACGTCTGGGTGGCCCCAGGGCTGAGGGGGGCCATAAGTTGGGCCCCCACCCCCCCCAGCATAGGGCATCTCATAGCCACTGTGGTATGGGTCAGAGCTGTGCTCATCCCTGAGGGCGGGGACACAAAGGTCAGAGAAGAAACCAGAACCATCTCTCCAGAGCACGAAGAAGAGCAAGAGGAAGGCACACACACAGAATGCGGTTTCTCAACCAACGGCTTGAAGGGACAAAGAAACAATGGGGTAGGGTGAGAACAGAAATGGTCTGAGAACAGAAAACAAGCTTTCAGCAGAGGTGATGCCAGACAGCTGCGACTAAAGAGAGAAACTGACGCCATCTCACCAGTCTCGTCGCATGCGCTTCTGTGGGGGGCTGAGCTCGTGGCGGGGAGGAGAGAAGCGCTCCCGTCGATTCCGGTCATAGTCACGATATTCACCCCGACTACGGCGCTCACGGCTACGGTCCCACTCTCTGGAGGGGTGAACCAGCATCAGTCATTAAAGGTGCAGCTGAACAGGCCAATGCCACACTCCTGGACAGGAGCCTCCTATCCAGACTGACACGCCACACTAGAAGCCTAAAACTGCAAAACCACACTCTCAGTCAGACACTCTCCTGTAATGCCATCACTTTCAACCACCACCCTCAAATTGATGGCTCTGACTCTTCCACCAGCCTGGCCTCTTCCCAAGCTCCACTCACTGAAGATTCCTCTGCTGGTGGGCTGGGATGTGGCTCAGTGGTGGGGCACTTGACTGGCACGTATGAGGGCCTAGGTTCTAGCCCCAGCACTGGAAAAGAAATCCTCTACCCGAAGTCAGCTACCTGTAATTCATGCTTCACATAAGAAATGAGACTATCGTTCCCACCACTGTAGGCCTCAAGTTCTGCCAATATCAAGCACTGTCCTCACCACCAAAAGCACTGTCTTGTTAATCTTCCACCTACAGCCTGTCAAAGATGTCATGCCATTGTCATCTCCAGACTTGGTCCAAGTCCCTGTCACTTCCCCAGCACTGGTTGTTTACCTGCCTCTGCTTTCTCTCCTTTTCTACTGTCAAAGTAATCTTTGTCAAAATCAAACATGACCGTGTCATACACCCTTACTTAACTGCCAGTAAACAACCCTGCTGAGGACTCCAGCTAGCCTGGCTGTCACTCCAGCATTTCCACCAGGACCGGCCATCCCTAGGCCCATCCAAACAACAAAAATATCTCTGCTCTTGAGATCTCCTTTTATACTAATGGAAAAAATATTTGTGCGCGCAGCGCTGAGAGTGGAAAGTAGGGCCTCACATGCTAGGTAAGCACTCTACCAGAGCTACATCCCTACCCATTATTGTGAAAATTATGAAGGACACCAAAGAGTTTCTGCTTTTGTGGGTTATGTCTATCAATACCTACTAAATTCAAAATTAAGAAAGAAAAACTGAATATCTATTTAGTATAAATTACATGTTTATGAGAAATGACTATTTTCACCCTCAAACATGAATGAAAATGGCACTGTTTTTACATTTTACACATCTCTTCAAGATCTGGCTTAACAGAAGACCATTTCTACATTTAGTGTCTCATGCTAGGTTGTTTGGCCCTTACATTGATGTGCAGTTACAAAAGGAAATGCATTAGAAGCCAGACATGGAGGCACACACCTATAATCCAAACACTTGGGAGTTTGAGGCCAGTCTGGGCTATATCCTGAGTTCAAGGCCAGCCTGAACTACACAGAGACCCTGTCTCAAAAAAAAAAAAAAAAAAAAACAGAGAGAGAAAAGGAAACGCTTTAATACAAGACTTTTTTCAAATAACTGTGACTATTTTTTTAAAAAAAAGATACTGCCTGAATTCAACAAGAGGTAGTTTCCTGTTTTTTTTAAGAGTTGAGGTCTTACTATCCTGGCCTAGGCTGTCCTCCTCAAATTCCTAGGCTGAAGTAATCCTCTTCCTTCAGATTTCCAAGTAGCTAGAACTGCAGGTGTGACCTACTGCACCACGCAAGTAGTTTCTTTTTTGTTGTTTTAAGTCAGGGTCTTGCTATGTAGTTGAAACTGACCTCCAACTCACTGTGTAGTAGCCTCAAACTTGCAGGGATCCTACTGCCTTAGCCACCAAAGTGCTAGGATTACAGGCATGCACCACCATATCAGGGCAAGAGGTAGACTCGAAAGGCTAGTTGGAATGTTCAATATAAAATCACATCAATGACCATCTGGTACTCTACATCAAAATCCTTGTTCTACCTTGCTTTTTTTTGTACTAGGGTCTGAACTCAGGACCCTGGGCTTTCAAGGAAGACCTACCTAGCTTTTTGAACAGCTCCTGACATGTGTCATTGTATAATACCAAAATATCCCCTTCATTACTGTACTACTTTTGTCCTCAGGAAAGTCTTTAAATACAGTGGTACCTTGGTTCACAAATGCTTTTGTTTGCAAACAATTTGGTTCTCAAACAGAAGTGTTGGCAGAATTTTTGTTTTTGTTTGCAACCACTGTAATGGATGACAAACACAACTGTGGCCATCTTTCCCAGACAAACACAGACATGGCCATCTCTTCTAAAACTGCAGGACAAATTCAGTTCATGAACCAAAGTACATCTGTATTAGGAAGCTATCAAACTCACACCAGTAAATACAAGTTCTCCGAAATTTTAGTTTCCACTGTAAAGTTTTATGTCTTAGTTCCTTCTTTTGCTGAGACAAGGCTCAACACCCACAAGTTAAGGGGGGAAAGGTTTATTTAGTTCACAGTTTGTAGAGGTTTCAGTTCATAATGGGCAGAGTGGTACATCAGACAGGCATCAGAGAGTTCATGGCAGGCAGATGGTAGCAAAGCAACCAGGAACAAGACAAGCCTCTGTCTGTCCCTTATACTGTGTATCCAGGCTTCTGGGATTAGGGTGGTGCCAAACCAAACCAATCAGTGGGCTGATTCATTAATCAATCATCTACTCTTTTTTTTTTTTTTTTGGAGACAGGGTCTCACCACATACTGACCTGGAACTCATTATGTAGTTCAGGCTGGTCTCAACTCACAGCAATCCTCCTGCCTCAGCCTCCAAGTGCTGGGATTACAGGCGTGCAACACCACACCCAGCTCAATCATCTACTCTTAATCCTAGCACCCTTAATCCTAGAATTGCACCAGGAGTCTATCACTCACTCTAGATTCAGCCACCTCTGAAAAAGCCCTACCTAGGAATGCATAAGGCTTTGGGGGGACATCTAGACACAAACCGTAACATTTTACTTCATCATTGACAACAAACACTGACAACTATCCTCTAAAGGGTTGTCTTAATTAACTTTCAAGATGTCTGCCAAATATAGCATGAACCCCCACTGACAGTCACCCATTCAAGTAAAAACCACATCACTGGAAAAACATTCCGTTGTTCTCCCAACTCTATTACACAACTGTTCTTGCCCAAAGTAACTACTATCAAGCCGGGCGTGGTGGCACAGGGCATGGTGGCACATGCCCGTAATCCCAGCACTCAGGAGGCTGAGGCAGGAGGATTGCTGTGAGTTCCAGACCAGCCTGGGCTACATAGTGAATTCCAGGTCAATCTCAACTACATAAGGAGATCCTGTCTCAAAAAAACCAACAAAACAAAACAAACAAACAAACAAAACAACATAATTACTGTCCTATATTCAGTAGGATGCATTATTCATACTTCCCTCTTCACCATACTGAAAAAATATATATAGCCAAGATTCCAATTTAGTAAAATGAAAACTTTTTTTTTTTTTTTGGTACCGGGGATCAAACTCAAGTCCTTGCGCTTGCAAGGCAGGCCACCGAATCGCTGAGCTAAATCCCCGGCCCTGAAAACTTTTTATTACCCTATCAAAGATAGTAAAACTGGCTTTTTTTGTTTTGTTGTTTCAACTCTGGTGCCATTTTCTTGATTTTGTGCTAAGGCATCAGAAGTTTTACCCACCAGTTCAAAAGCACTGTTGCTAAAAAACATCTACTTCTGGGCTGGGGATTTAGCTCAGCGGTTCAGTGGCCTGCCTTGCAAGCACAAGGACCTGAGTTCAATCCTCGGTACTCAAAAAAACAAAAACAAAAAAAAATCTACTTCTTAGTTTACCTTAAAATCAATTTTACCCTCACAGACCCCTAGGGTCTGCAG